ACACCCAGCTAATTTTTGTATTTTTAGTAGAGGCAGGGTTTCACCATGTTAGTCAGGCTAGTCTTGAACTCCTAACCTCATGATCTGCCCACCTAGGCCTCCCAGAGTGCTGGGATTAAGGCGTGAGCCACCAAACCTGGCCTCCAATGCAGATTTTTTTTTGTTTTTTTTGTTTTTTGTTTTTTTTTGTGTGTGTGTGTGTGTGTGTGTGTGTTTGTTTAAAGTGAAGGCAAGTTCATTAGAGCAGCAGATGGTTTTAAAGTTTGTTGTTTGTAGGGGGACAGTGTGAGAGTCAGATTTTACATAGATTTGAAGCTCCCATAATTTTATAGGGGTAGGGTGTAGGGGAGACCACAGAAAAAGAATACCAAAAAATCTTTCTTGTTCAAATTTTATAAAAACATTTGACCAGGAGCATATGTTGCTTCTCCAAGGGCCTTGGAAAGGGCTCACACAAGTGAGTGTCCCTTCAGCTGATGCTTCTTTAGCCTCATAGTGAATGTAGCATTGCTGCTGGTAAATCAGGTTAAAGGAAGACAGTCTCCCGTCAATCCAGATCCTGTTTTGGGAAACAGCTTCTCAAGTAAACAAACACCGGACTCTTAAGGGTGTTTAAATAGTTCTTTACATGAAGCCATCAGTGATAAATCCAAACCCTATTCAGTCAGAGGGTAGGAAAATAGGGATTGTATCACTAACTCATTTCTTTCATCCCCTTTCAGGCCACAAGAGCACAGAGCTTCACTGTTCAGATCTTCCAGGTGTCCCTGAAGACTCCCACCTTTCTTACAGCTAATCTGCTCCCCTCTCCCCACAGTCTCTTTCTCTTTTAACTCTTCCCTTTTCTGATTTATTTAACTTCTCTCCTGTTTTCCAGAATGTGCCACTTCTTCATCAAAAAAAAGTTCTTGGCCGGGCACAGTGGCTCATGCCTGTAATCCCATCACTTTGGGAGGCTGAGGCAGGTGGATCATGAGGTCAGGAGCTCAAGACCAGCCTGGCCAAGATGATGAAACTCTGTCTCTACCAAAAATACAAAAATGAGCTGGGCGTGGTGGTGAGCATCTGTAATCCTAGCTACTCAGGAGGCTGAGGCAGAGAACTGCTTGAACCCGGGAGGCGGAGGTTGCAGTGAGCCAAGCTCACACCACTGCACTCTAGCCTGGGTGACAGAGCAAGACTCTGTTCAAATAAATAAATAAATAAAAGAATCAAGTTCTCTCATGTGTTTAGTAAATTGCAGAACCTTTCTCTGAGCTGCAGGTCAAGTTCTTCTCTCCTCAATCTGGATTCTCCTGTTGGATACAGGAGAGAAGTGAGCTTTAGCTTACATGAATTGGGTAGGAAGGAAGGGTAAAAGTCTCCACACTGGACTATAATATACCTTTTTTCTAGGTATCTCGAAACTAATCTTTTTTTTTCTTTTTTTGAGACAGAGTCTCTATATGTCACCCAGGCTGGAGTGCAGTGGCACGATCTTGGCTCACTGCAACCTCCACCTCCCGGGTTCAAGTGATTCTCCTGCCTCAGCCTCCTGAGTAGCTGAGAATCAAGCTACTGTAATCAGGGATTACAGATGTATGCCACCACGTCCAGCTAATTTTTGTATTTTTAGTAGAGACGGGGTTTCTCCATGTTGGTCAGGCTGGTCTCGAACTCCTGACCTCCTGATCCGCCCTCCTGAGCCTCCCAAAGTCCTGGGATTACAGATGTGAGCCACTGCACCCGGCTCAATACTAATCTTGAACACATACACTTCATGTGGTCTATAAGGGATGACTATATCTACCACTAAAGGAACTTGAACAGCACCTTCCCCCACCCATATTTAATATTACAACATCCTTTTCTATTAAATTAACAATGAAGAACATCTTGCCCTAATTGCTAGGGTTCTCCACTGGCTGTAAAATTATGTCAAGGTTTAGAAAAATGGAGGCAACAAGGGAATTAACTTGCTTTTTGATATGTTGAGTTTGAAGTGTCTGTGGTACCTCTAGATGCATATGTTTAGTAATCAGCTGAAAATGTAAATCTAGAGCTCATGAGAGAGGCCAAGACGGCTGACCAAGCTAAGGAGCCATCTACCTGTAAATGGTCTTTCATCTGGAAGCATGGGTAAACTTGCCCCAAGGAGAGTGTTTGAAGTGGGAGGAAATCCTGGGCAGTATAGCAAAACCCTGTCTCTACAAAAAAAAAAAACAACTGAATATGATGGCGCACACCTATAGTCCCAACTACTCAGAAGACTGAGGTGGAAGGATTGCTTCAGCTGAGGAGTTTGAGGCTGCAGTGAGCTATGAGCACACCATTGCACTCCAGCCAGGGCAACAGAGTGAGACCCTGTCTCTAAAATAAATAAGCAAGTGACAAGAAGCCCAGCAGAAAATTGTTGGGAACAAAAACCTTATGGAACTGGGAAAAAGAGGAACCTGCAGAGACAACTGAGGCCCATTGGGACGTCAAAGATGAATCAGGAATGTGACTAGACTAATAACAGCAAACATATACTGTTTAAAATGTGCCAGTGCTATTTTAAGTGCTTTCCATATATTAATTCATTCAAATCTTACAATAGCCTTTTGAAGCAAACACTACTACTATTTCCATTGAGAAGATAATGAAACAGAAAGTTAGACAGCTTACATAATCTTGACAGATTACAAACAGAATACTGTTTAGAGCCAGTATTAAGAATTAGGCAGTCTGGCTTCAGAGCCTGTGCCCTTAACCACTTCACTGTACTCTCTCTCAAAAAGCTAAGTAAGAAGACAATTTTAAGAAGCATATAGTCATTGATGTTAACAGAAAAACTTTAGGCAATTAAGTTTAGCAGTTTATCTGAGCAAAGAACAATTCATGAAATGGGCCGCACCCTGAACCAAGAGAGGTTCAGAGAGATCCACCCAGCAATGCAGGCAGGCAGTATTTATAGACAGGAAAAGAGAATGACATACAGAAACAGCTTGATTGTTATAGGTCACCATTTGTGTTATGGCCATGGTCTAATCAGTTGGCAGCTTGTGATTGGCTGAATGAATTGAAGTTCAGCTGCTATGATTGGCTGAGATTTAGCTACCTGTTACAAGAACATAGGCTTAATTCAGTTGCAGTTTGTTTACATACTGAGTTAGGTTTCAGCTCACTAGTTATCAAGACAGACATAGGCCAAATTTAACAGTGTTATTCAGTACTATCAAATGAAATGAGGACTGAAAAGTATCAAAGTGGTCAATTATAAGGCCATTATTAATCTTAATAGAGCATTTTTACTGGGTTGGAGTAATAAACTTAAGGCTGCCAAAAGGCACACTACATTGTGAATTAGTTGTACTTATATAATATAAAACATTTTTAGAAGTCTATTTCATTTCTACTTGAAGTCCTGTGCTGACATGCACATCCTCCAAGGATTTACATTCGTTTAAAGGTAAAAGTCAATGAAACTTCATTTTTAAGTCAGTGAAGACTTGAATAGACTTGATTTATTTAACAAAGTACTCTTTAGGTAATAAATTCTTTGGTGTACTACAGTTACTAAATACAAATTTAGTGAAGGACATTCACTATCACCTTAATGTGGTAGATCAATATTCCTATCAATAACAACTAGAATGAATAAGACACAAAAATCTATCTAAAATATTGCTATATGTAACTGCATGGATGAATGCCACAACCATAATGTTGCATTAAACGGGACAGGCATAAAAGAATACAATCTGTAAGATTCGTTTATACAAAATTCGAAAACAGGCACAACTAATCTATGGAATTAAAAGTGAAGATAATGGTTACCTTTGGTAGAGGGTTGGTTGTGTTGTAATTTTTAGGAAGAGGCACAAAGAGTTCTTTCAAGATACTCGTTATATTCTGTCTCTTGATCTGGGGCTGGTTACGTAGTTGGGTTCCTATGTTAGTTTGAGTTCTCCAAGGAGGCACCAACACAAAATTAAATATTCAAGGCCTTTCTTAGGAAAATGCTTGTGTGAGAACATAGGGAAGGAGCTGGAAAGACTGAGAGAGTGGTCACATGCAAGTCTGACCCTGAGTGAAAGAGGGAGGGAAGATATGTTGGGTGGAAGTATTCTAGACCATCATGAAGTCAGGGGAAGATTCAGCAAGGGTGCTGGGGAGTCCTCAAGTCTAAGTTGACCATGAAGGAAGACCTGTGTCTTCCAGTAACAGGTCTGCCTCAGTATCACAGTCATTGACTGTGAGCAGACCCAGGGGAGGGTGGCCTTATCCCAGGTATAATAATGAATTGTAGAGCACAGTGGTCAGTTAGGCTCCTAATGTTTAGAGGTCAGCAAGATGCCTTCTAGAAGTTATCAAAATGCATCTCATAAAAATTCATTGAGCCATACATTTTATTTGTACACTTTCGTGACTGCATATTATATTTAAAGAGAAAGTTTGTTTTACAGAAGCAAATGTAGTAGATTTGTCATTTTATATTCCAAAAACCAGAAACATCAGAAAGACTATTTTCACTAGCTAATTGATATTCTTTTTATTTAATGCCACTATAATATGGGATACATTGAAATGATTCCTACTTTTATGTATTGCCATATCAACCCCTTATTACTGTAAAACTTTTGTAAACATGAGCAAATTATATCTTCCAGTCTTATGTACTTGAGCAATTTGACCTCTAATAACTATAAATTGGTAAAAAAAAATTTTTAATGTGCTGATAATTTCTATGAAAATGTTGAGTGGGACTCACATGATGAGTAATCTACCTTTTCTCTCAGAAGTCTTGGAGAAAATCTCCAATATAAGCAATTAGAAGTAAATTAAATGATGTAATATTATTCTTATATTTATTTTAATTTGGAGAATTTATCGGAAATGTGATGGATATGGCAGGATTTCCTTCCCCAAACCACCATGCTTACTGCCATATAAGACGTGCCCCAATTTTACAAAGAAAACTTTCTTTGGAAAAATTAATTAATACATGTATTGAGGGTCATTTTAAAGTCTTTTTAATAGCCCAGTCATGGTGGTTCACGCTTATAATCCCAGCACTTTGGGAGGCTGAGGTGAGTTGATCACTTGAGGTCAGGAGTTCAAGATCAGCCTAGCCAACATGGTGAAAGCCCATCTCTTCTAAAAATACAAAAATTAGCTGGGCATGGTGGTACACACCTGTAGTCCCAACTACTCAGGAGGCTGAGGCAGGAAAATCACTGGAACTCAAGAGGTGGATGTTGCAGTGAGCCATGATCGTGTCACTGCACTCTTGCCTGGGCGACAGAGCAAGACTCTGTCTCAAAAATAAATAAAAATAAATAAATAAAGTTTTTTTTTAAATAAAAGAAAACGTTATTTTATTCATGTAAATGCAATACAGAGAATACTCGAATCCAACGTCAACAGTCTTAGGTTCTAGACATGCAGTAATAGTTGACTAAACCCTAAAATAAGTATAAACTGCCTTAGCACAAAGAAATATATTTGCAATGTGGAATATTGGTAGACAACAGGCAACAATGCATATGTTTACTGAGCAATAGAAGCCTTATAAGACAAATGCTAACAAAACAAATACCAGTAGTAATTTCAGCAAATATTCATAACCAAAAGCATCAACATAATATATGTTTGCATGAAGTTTTAATTGCCCATGTAGATGAAACAGATACGTTTTTTAAAGTTGGCTTGTTTGCTTGCTTGCTTTTTCTTTCTTTCTTTCTTTCAATGGAATCTTATTCTGCCACCCAGATTGGAGTACAGTGGTACGATCTCGGCTCACTGCAACTTCTGCCTCCTGGGTTCAAGTGATTCTCCTGTCTCAGCCTCTGGAGTAGCTGGGACTACAGGTGCCTACCACCACAGTGGCTAATTTTTGTATTTTTAGTAGAGACAGGGTTTCACTATGTTAGCCAGGCTGGTCTCAAACTCCTGACCTCAGGTGATCTGCCTGCCTTGGCTTCCCAAAGAGCTGGGATTACAGGGGTCAGCCTCTGTGCCTGACCTAACGTCTGTTTCTGATGTTTAAAATCTAAGATTCTTGCTTGGCAGACCTCAGTACATGTAGACTAACAAATATCACAGTAAAAAAGAACTTGTCGCAAGAAATATAAAAACAGAAAATGTTGAAAAGATTCCCTGCCAGGCACAAGGGCTCATAACTGTAATCCCAGCACTTTCAGAGGCTGAGGTAGGCAGACCACGTGAGCCCAGGTGTTCGAGACCAGCCTGGCCAACATGGAGAACCTCTGTCTCTACTAAAAAATACAAAAATCAGCCAGGTGTGATGGCATGTGCCTGTAGTCCCAGCTACTCAGAAGGCTGAGGCATGAGAATCGCTTCAACCTGGAGAAAGAAGTTGCAGTGAGCCAATATCGCACCACTACACTCTAGCCTGGGCAATAAAATGACTCTGTCTCAAAAAAGAAAAGAAAAGAAAAGAAAAGATTCCTGTGTTGTAATGTTCCTTCATATGTCACATTAGATACTAGTGAGCAAAGAGGAGAAAATTAAGTGAATTTTTTAAAAAGCTGATATTTCACTCCATGTAGTAAAATCAGTCACAAAAATCTAAGAATTAATAAAAGATTTTAATCTTCATCCTGAAAAGCAAGAACATCATTTACCCTAGAAGATGAAATCCTTTGTCCCTGCTGGTATCCAGAGGATTCACTTTATCACTGACGTTTGCTGCATCAGAAACTGAGTCATCGCTACCTTCAAACAATGGATCCTCCTCAGCACAGTGACTGGGGCAATGTGAATTCCACAGCAGCCTGTCTTAGGTGATGCATGTCTGGTTCCTGCCAGCGCTGGCATCTCCCACCAGAGGAATACCTGTCTAGTTCACCCCCCATTCGCAGGCCCTAGACAGCTCTTGCAGTGGTCTTTTTTCCATAAGGAAATCTGGGTCCAGCTTTAAGTCTTCCTGCCAGGTATTTTCCACCTGCCATAAGATGGGTCCTGAAATCAGGCAGCTGGGGTGAACCTAGCAGGTCTGAGGGAAGAATAAAGGTAGGAAGAGGTGCAAGACCCATGCTGCTCCAGACTCTGTTCATCATATGGGTTCTTGAGATTCAAGATAACTTGTGGATATACCTCAGAAAATACATGTGAAGTGTCAGCAAATATGACAGTAAAAAGAAGTAGTAACTCCTCAACAAGAATGAGTAAGCAAATATAGATGAAATATAGATAGATAGAGATAAGAAAATACAGACGAGATATGTAGATATTTTGAATATTTTGCTTTGTGTTTAGATGTCTATTAAATTCTATAATAGACCTCATCAATTTACCACTGGGTCTTTAGCTTGACTCATCACCAGGCCCAGTCTCAGTGAACCCTGCGGACTGCCTGAGCCATAAAGAGATTGTAATCCCAGATACTTGGGAGGCTGAGATGGGAGGATCACCCAAGCACAGTGGGAGCACAATCTCCCGCTGAACACTGGGAGGTGGAGGCTGCAGTAAGCCATGATTGTGCCACTGCACTCCCGCCTGGGTGACAGGCTGACACCCTGTCTCAATTTAAAAAAAAAAAAAAAAAAAGTGGGAGAGGGAAAAAAAGAAACAACAACAACAAAAAGAATCAATATAGGCACAATATCCAAATGTACTGCTCACTGAGGAACAGCAGGTTACATTTACCCACCACTTGTGCTGACATCTCTCTCCCTTGGAATAACGCAAAAGCCTCCTAACCAATCTCTGCCTTCACCCTTGTTTCCCTACAGTCTCTTCTTAATACCGCTTCCAACGAAATCCTTTTGAATGCTAAATCGGATCACATTACTCCTCTGCTGCAAAAACCTCCACCAATTCCCCATGTCCTGCAGATCAAAAGTCAGTCTTTCTAAAGACCTAGAAGGCCCAGTGTGACCTGCAACTCTGCTCCCCTCCTTACCTCTGTGATTTCATCCCTCACTCTCTCACCTCCAGCCACACTGGTCTCCTTGCTGTTCCCCCAACACACCAGGCACCTCCCTGACTCAGGACCTGGCTCTCCCCTTTGTCTGGAACACCGTGGACCATTGCGTTCCGAGATATCCACATGCTGAACTCCTGCACCTCTCTCAAGTCTTTGCTCAAATGTCCCCTTCTCAGTGAGTATTCTGCTTAAAATGGCAAATATTTTCCACTCTTGGCACTCCCAATACCTTTCATCCTGCTGTAATTTTTTCCATAGCTCTTAATATCTTCTTACGTATCAAATACTACATAGCTTTCTTAGTTACTCTGTCTATAGTTGTGGTCTTCCTTCACTAGACTCTAAGCTCCACATGTATAATTCGCTGCCATATCCTAATAGCGCAGAGCAGATCTGGCATAGAATGGCACTCGATTAGTGTTGGTTGAATGAAGGAATGAATGAGCGAACACATTAGCAAGGGTTCTATTAGTTGATTTCTCTGTGGTACTTTGGAGATCACTAGATAATCTCAGTTCTGCTTGGGAGTGTGTTATGTGAAGTGGCGGCTGCTGCTCGGAGCCTGGAGTGCAGGTTCTGACTTGCTGCAGCTGATGGTGCTGAGAAGTGGGCACCGTGTACAATGTCCTTCCGCCTGCTGCCCTTTCAGGTGCCCCCACACTCTGTCATCAGTCACTCCATCCTGTGTGCACTGCTGCTGATGTTTGTTTGGAAGCCAGTGGCCCTTTGTCTCAGCCATTGTTCTTTCTTTGCTCTCTGTTTTTGCTTCCCAAGACTCCATTGGGTCCCCTACCTCAGGCCCCCATTGCTCTTCACCTGCACCCCAGGCAGTTCTGATTTTGTACCCCCACAATCCTAGCTGAGGTCAGAGCCCTGGACTCTCCACTACCAGAGAAGAAAAATCGGATGTTAGACTCATTGCCCTACTTTTAAACAACCAACGGGAAAATGAAGGGTTGGCTGATTTATCTGTGGAATAAGCAAATTCAGATTCAGATGATGACAAACAATCTAGACAATTCCGTTTCTGGGCTTGTTTTCCTGAATCATCCAGAGCATTAACATGGCAAATAAAACCCACCAGATAACCTTATTATATTTCTTTTTTTTTTTCAAGATAGAAGTTTCTCAAGATAAAAATATGGCTATTTGCTTTCTTTGAGAGCAAATTTCAATCTTGTACTTAATCTGCCTTCTGCTAAAATAGGGCACAGTAGACTCCTCCTTGTGACTAATAGAGATTCCAGAAATGGAAATTAGGATACAAATTTTAACCTTTAGAGAATGAGAAGCCCTAGAGCTAAGCTTTCTTTACATTGTTTAAATCCTTGAAATAAGTCATAATTGATTCATGGCCCAGCTATCTCATTCCTAAAGGACTAAAATCTTGTCAATCTTGATTTCTAGATTGATAAGAGGATAAAAAAGAAAACGCTGTGAGAAGCTAGTATCCTTTTAGATAAGTTATTTCTGTATCTCTCCAGAAATGATCTTGCAAAGGGCTAATGATACATAATCAGATTTACAGAGCAACACTATTCACATCATCTCATTTGATTCTGTTAATATGCTTAGTGATTAGACAGAGGAAAATATATTGTTGTTCCTGTTTTAAAAACAGAAAGTAGAACAAAGCCTTTTCAGAAATCTGGCCCACAGATCGCAGGTAAAACAGTAAGCCTATAGTTTTGATTCCCAGTCCGTTAGGAAGTTAACGTAAGGGCAGCAAGCATTTGGGAGAGGTCCCCAGGAAGGAGGTGGGAAAAGACTGTAGAAAAGGAAGAGGGAAGAACTGAGTTATCAGCAACATAAACACCAGCAGCAAACATTTACCTAGAATCGGCTGCATGCTAAATCTGGGTATATAGTGAGACAAATAAGAAGAATAACCCTGCCATCAAGGAATTTGTAGTGACATGTAGGGCAAAAACATGAAAATAAATGGTAACAGAAAGTAGAAAGACTAGGTGTAGGGTGACCACATTTTTCAACAGAAAATTAGGCTTTGTGGTCTGAGGGTACTTACAGGGGCAGAATATTTTATTTCATTGCCAATCAGCAATATGAAAGTCAGAGGAAAGAGTGATTCATAAGAATCTGGGCTGGCTTGTTAGAAAATCTTGTCTGATACTATGGGCAACTCTAGCTAGGTTCCCCAACCTAGGGGCAGAGAGTTAAGTCTCTACTTTTACCTTGTATGACACAATTTCCTGGAGACATTTTCTCCCCAAATGCTCCTATATTTCATTGTGGCAGCAAGACATCCAGCTTCCAGATGGAAAAACAAGATGCCAGTCTCCTCTCATGTAGATAGCACCACTCTCTAAAGTAGATCATTTGGATCCCTTCCAGGTGGGACTGCTTCTTTTGACTTGCTGGTGGGAGAGGAAACATGTTAATATGGCATTCTAATCACGTGAATTCTCTTACTACCAAGATGCTCATTAAGAAATCTCTCTTTTTCTTACCAACTTGGAAATGGGTAATAGTAGTGACTATTAAAGATCAGGAGCTCAGTGTGGTGGCGCATGCCGCTTGGCCAACCATTTGGGAGGGCAAGGCGGGAGGATCACTTGAAGCTGGGAGTTCAAAACCAGCCTGGGCAACAAAGCAAGACCAGTCTCTACAAAATGAATAAATAAATAAACAAAAATTAGCCAGGCATGTTGGTGTGTGCCTGTAGTCCCAGCTACTTGGGAGGCTGACGTGGGATGATCTGTTGAGTTCAGAAGGCTGAGGCTGCAGTAAGCCGTGATGTGGCCACTGCACTCCAGCCGGGGTGACAAAGTGAGACCATGTCTCAAAAAACAAAAAATGAAGATCAGTTTGGTGACCTTTCATGAATGTACCTAACATCTCTCTTTTAAATACAGGTGCATTTGTTACCTGTCGTCCACAGCTTTGAGGATGGTGATGAAGTGTTCAGACAACAAAATCTCTTTCTACATCCAATAACATGGGCAATGAGAGTCTGAAGAAGGGGAAGACATAAAGGGAACGCACTTAACTTTTTCTGTTTTACAATTTACCTAAGGCCCTGGTGGTCTTCCTGCAGGCCTCGGCAGGAAACTTAAATGATGAGTTTGGCTCTTCCTGGTGCTGTGGCTGCCTGAACTAATACAGGTAGTGCCCACAGGCCTGAATGGTCGCCGCTGTGTGTTACAGGCAGTGTCATATTCCCAACCACATTGAGTCAGTCTCTTTCTTGCTTTGCATTAGGGAGCATTGCTTTGCTTTATATTTTATCAGTTGCTATCCCATATTCTTTCAAGATGAGCTGAAATACACATTTCTGCACCTAAATTTGAGTATTATTTTCTTTCTATGTTAAGTTCCTTAAAGTTTTATATATATATATATATAAAGTTATGTTATGTTCCTTAAAGTTTTATATATATATATAACTTTCTATGTTATGTTTCTTAAAGTTATATATATATACACAAAGTTATATATATATATACAAAGTTATATATATTTGAGACAGAGTATCACTCTTGTTGCCCCAGGCTGGAGTGCAGTGGTGCAATCTTGGCTCACTGCAACCTCTGCCTCCTGGGCTCAAGCGATTCTCCTACCTCAGCCTCCCGAGTAGCTGGGATTACAGGCACACGCCACCACACTCAGCTAATTTTTGTATTATTAGAGGTACAGGGCTTCACCATGTTGCCCAGGCTGGTCTCAAACTCCTGACTGCAGGTGATCCGCCGGCCTCGACCTCCCAAAGTGCTGGGATTACAGGCATGAGCCACCACACCCAGCCTAAAGTAATTTTTTAAGCCAATACATACCTGTATACTGTCTCCAGAATGGGCACTTCGCATATTCTTCTGATATGTGCACTCCATGCAGATTGTGGTAAACATTTGAGGTATTGAAAGGGAAAGCTTTGGCTTGACTTAAAAAAAATTGTCTGTTTGATTTTTTGAACATTACCGCAGTAACTCATGCTCCTAATAACAACTAAAATAACATGGTACAAACATATATAAAAGATGAAGCTAATGATTTCTTCTATTTATGTGGTATAATTTGCATAATATGACATAGGATCTGACCGTATTATTTTTCCAGATGGACAGAGAGTCTACCTATAGCTACATATCTTCAATAACAGATGGCATTTATTTCTCTCATTTTTCATGCTGTTTGAAATATTTTAAAAGTTCAGGCCAGGCACGGTGGCTCATGCCTGTAATCCCAGCACTTTGGGAAAGTCCTGCAGAGGTGGGAGGATCGCTTGAGCTCAGGAGTTTGAGACCAGCCTGGGCAACACAGTAAGACCCTGTTTCTACAAAAAACATTTTAAAAATTAGCTGGTCATGCTGGCGCACACCTGTAGTCTCAGCTACTTGAGAGGCTGAGGCAGGAGGATAGCTTGAGCTAAGGACTGTGAGATTGCAGTGAACCATGATTGCGCTATTGCATTCCAGCCTGGGCAACAAAGTGAGACCTTGTCTCAAAAAAAATTAATATAAATAAAAATAAAAATGCAGAAGCTATGTATTTCTAATTGAAATTGTAATGAGATAATCATAGATTAACATGCAGTTATAAGCAATAGTACAGAGAGCTGCCTTGTACCTTTTGCCCAATTTCTCCAATGGTGACATTATGGAAAACTACAGTACAGTATTAGATATTTCTCCAGGATACTGACATTGTACGATCCACCCATTTTGTGCAGGCTTTCCCAGTTTTCTTTACTTGTATTGATTTGTGTGTGTATGTGTGCATGTGCGTGTGTGTGTGTATTTAGCTCTGTATAATATTATTCCATGTGTATCCACCATCATAGTCAAGATACTAAGGTTTCATCACCCCAGTGATTTTTCATGCTGCTCTTTTATGACACTGACCTCCTACACCTGTCCTTAACCCCTGGCTGCCACTAAACTGTTCTTTATTTCTAAAATTTTTTCATTTCAGAAATGTCATATAAATGGACTTATATAGTATGTATCCTTTTGAGATTGACTTTTTTCCCTCAGCATAATTCCCTGGCGACTCACCCAAACTGTTGTATCTATCAATAGTTTGTTCATTTTTATTGCTGAGTATTATTCCATAGTGTGGATATACCACAACTTTAAAAATTTTTTAATTGAGAAACAAAATGTATATATTTTTTATGTAGAAGATGATGCTTTGAAATGTCTATACATTGTGTAATGACTAAATTGAGCTACTTAACATATGTTAAGTACTTAACATATTATCTCACATACACATTTTTTGGGGGCAAGAACACTTAAAATCTCAGCAAATTTCAAGTATACAATATTTATTGCTATCAACTGTAGTCGCCATGTTGTACAATAGGTCTCTTGAAAACTTATCCCTCCTGGCTAACTGAACTTCTGTATACTTTGGCCAACATCCCCCCAATTTCCTCTACCCCTTTTTCTTTCTTTCTTTTTTTTTTGAGATGAAGTCTTGCTCTGTCACCCAGGCGGGAGTGCAGTGCCATGATCTTGGCTCACTGCAACCTCCACCTCCCGGGTTCAAGCAATTCTCCTGCCTCAGCCACCTGAGTAGCTGGGATTAGAGGCACTCACCGCCACACCCGGCTAATTTTGTATTTTTAGTACAGAGTTTTTCCATGTTAGTCAGGCTGGTCTCGAACCCCTGACTTCATGATCTGCCCGCCTCAGCCTCCCAAAGTGCTGGGATTACAGACTCGAGCCACTGTGCTTGGACTCCCCAACCCCTTTAGCCCTGGAAACCACCATTCTACTCTCTACTTCAATTAGTTCGACTTTGTAAGATTCCACACGTAAGTGAGATCCTGTGGTATTTGTCTTTCTGTATCTGGCTCATTTCACTTAACCTAATGTCCTTCAGATTCGTCTATGTTGTTGCAAATGACAGGATTTCCTACTTTTTGATGGATGAACAGTATTCTACTCTATGTGCATGCCACATTTTCTTTATCCATTCATCTACCAATAAACACTTAGGTTGATCTTGGCTATTACGAATAATGCTACAGTGAACATCAATCACAATCTGTTTAGTCATTCACCTGCTGAAAGACATGTGGGCTGCTCCAGTTTTGGGGCCAATAGGAATAAAAATGCTGTAAATATTTATGTATAGGTTTTTGTGTGAATTTCTCTGGGATAGATGCCCAAGAGTGCAATGGCTGGGTTGTGTGGTAATTGCTTGCTCAGTTCTATAAGAAACTACCGAGCTGTTATCCAGAGTGGTTGTACCATTTTACATTCCCACCAGCAAAATATGAGTGGTCCAATTTCTCCATATCCTTGCCAGCATCTGGTGTTTTCACTATTTTACTATCACCCAATACTACTCTATTTTGTTGCTCAAATTGTTCCAGCTCTGATTAAATTTTATTTTAACAATCCTGACCTGTGTGTAGTAAACCCCCACTGTGGTTTTAGCTTGCATTTCCCAATGGCTAATGATATTGAACACCTTTTCATGTGCTTATTTACTATGTATATATATTCACAAGTATTTGAACACTTTTCCTTTCAAAGGTGGCATCTAATTGCCCACTCCTTGAACGTAAAGTGGATTTAGTGGATTCCTCTCTTGTGGATAACCAGCTCTGAGTCCTGCTGGCGACCATATCATGAGGACACTGAAGCAGCCCTAGGCCCACCTGCAGAGGAACTGAGGTTTCCTGCCAAACGCTAAACATCTTGACAGCCGTATGAATGATCCACCATGGAAGCAGATCCTCCAGTTCCTGTTTAGCCTTCAAGTAACTGCAGCCTGGGCCCACATCATGAGTTCATCTCTGTGAGAAACTTCAAGACAGACTTTACTAGCTAAGCCACTCTTGACTCACAAAAACAGAGATAACAAATGCAAACTGTTATTTTCAGTCACTAAATTTTGAGATAATTTGTTATGCAGTGACAGATAACTAATTACATTCCTATGTTATATATGTATACACTTTATATACTTCATATATATATGTATATATAAAGTTTTTTTCAAGTTAATTTGTTATGGCTGGATGCAGTGGCTCACATCTGTAATCCTAGCACTTTAAGAGTCTGAGATGAATGGATCACCTTGGGTCAGGAGTTCCAGACCAGCCTGACCAACATGGCAAAACCCCATCTCTACTAAAAATACAAAAAATCAGCCAGGCATGGTGGCACATGCCTGTAGTCCCAGCTACTTGGGAGGCTCAGGCAGGAGAATCACTTGACCCTTGCAGAGGTTGCAGTGAGCCAAGATCACACCACTCTACTCCAGCCTGGGCAACTGAGTGACACTCCGTTTCAAGAAAAAAAGATTAATCATTTGTTATTTAAATCTTTTTCTTAGCTGATGGTATGTCTGTGATATAGTCTCTGAGTCCTTGTATATTTACAAATATCATTCACACAGAAAGGCAAATCACTTGCTTTGATATAGAATTCTTGGATTGTAGTCTTTTTCTCTCAGTAGTTTGTAGAGTATGCCTCATTTTCTTTTAGCCTCAAAAGTCAGAGATAAATTACATGTCTGATTTTTTTCTTTTCAGTTTAATCATTTTTTTCACCACTTGGAACTTGTTAGATATCCTTTCATCTTAAAGTTCAAGAATGTTACCAGCATATGCTTAGATACGTTTCTCGTTAATTTTGCCTGGAACTTAGTGAGCCTTTCGAATTTGTAGACTCAGGTCTTTCTTCAACACAAAAATATTGTCTTCTACTATTATCTCTGCTCCATCTGCTTTTTTTTCTCTTTCTAGAATCTATCCTCTAGGGTCTATCCTCCAAATTTCTTATCTTTGGGGTGCATGTGTGTGTTTGTGTGTGTGTGTGATAATTTCTATCCCTTTGTAGTTTTGCTCTGTCAATTGACATATTTCTTCCATTGGATTTTCTAGGCTTCTAATTTTATTCTCAACACTGGCCTTTATTATATTATTACACTTATAGTATGAAAAGTTATGGTTTTATTTATCTCCAGAGCATTTCTTTTGTGTTGCTCTTAGACCTTCTTGGTGTTCTTATTAATTTATTCTTGCTGCACAAGTTATCATCTGTCTCTTTCAGCAAGTCTGTTTCATAAGGGACTTACTCTGTTCAATTTGCTCCTTCTGTTTCTGGTTTTGGGTACCTTGGAAGTAGCATCAGTGTCACTGGTCCTGAGAGGGTGGAAGGACAGCGGTCTCTGAATGTGTCATGTTGTATAATAGCAGATAGTTTTTTCAGGGAGAAAAGAAGTTCCCTGATCTCATGTTCTCCTGGCCTCAATTTGGTTCTTCCCCAGCAGCTGCAGTCAGGGAGAATACATATACTTACTTAGAGCAGAAATCAACTTCTTGGCAGGCCAACTATCATGGCACCCCCAGAGGGTCCAGCTGCCAGCAACCACCATTTTTAGATATTCATGTCAAGACTATCCTGCTTTGATCCCCAGTTCCCGTCCTGCCCACTGTGAAGACACCATTATGTTAGGTTTATGAGTCTCCCTTTCCAGGTCCCTCCTGCCTACTGATTGGCCCCAGCAGATGGAATCAAGATGGAGTTGGAAGGAGAGAGAATGTGAGAGTCAGTAAGCTGCCATCTTTTCCTTACATAAATTTGAAATTAATTGTTTTTCATATTCATCCAGATCATTTTTCATGCTAAATGGATAGTGTGCAAATTAAGTCTTTGTGAGTGTATTAGTTTGTTTTCATACTGCTATAAAGAACCGCCTGCATTTGGGTAATTTACAAAGGTAAGAGATTTAATTGACTACAGTTCAGCATAGCTGGTGAGGCCTCAGGAAACTTGCAATCATGGCAGAAGGCGAATGGGAAGCAAGGTATCTTCTTCACAAGGCAGCAGGAAAGAGGAGTGCTGAGTGAAAGGGGAAGAGCCCTTTATAAAACTATCAGATCTCGTGAGAACTCACTATCATGAGAACAGCATGGGGGAAATTGCCCCCATGCTTCAATTACCTCTTGGTCTCTCCCTTGACATATGAGGATTATAATTCAAAGATGAGATTTGGGTGGGGACACAGAGGCTAACCATATCAATGAGTCATCTAAATATAAAAGCAAACTTGGAACTATAATTTCAAGGAACATTTTATAAATTCCTTACAGAGTTCAAACCAACCAAGCGATTTTTGTTCAAACTCTCCAATGTGAATGTTTGTATGTAGACATCAAGCATGAGAAATGTCAAACCTGGCACAAAAACCCAACAAATGGCAGAATCTATGGTTTTACAGTGGAATGGTCATTTGATCTCTGTGCAGACCTCAGCCTATTTCTTCATCTTTTTTTTTTTTATCCTCTGGAAAGCTATAATTTGAATTTAAGAGCAGTACTTAGAAGCAAAACGCTAATCAAAATCAGAAAAACATGTATTAAATCCTCTCATGAGTGAAGCACTGTGTAAAGCAGAACTCAGCATCCATATTTGAAGACATGAAGCACTTTTTCCAACCCCAGCATTAGCCCTGCATGGATCCCAAATTTCTTCTTGCACATTTCAGGGACTCTCCCAGATTGATTCTCTTCCTAGCTATGGCCAGTCCAGTTTTTCTTCCGGAAATCCATTTTTCCATGGTTTGCCTTAAAGGGGGTTGCTTCTGCTATTTTGAAGCAGGCTCACAAATCTGTGCACTTAAAGGGCTTTTACTGCTCTGTATTATTGAGAAATAGAAGATTTGAAATTAACATTAGAAAAGTTACAGAATCACCAGAAGTTATCTTTATTTTTATTTTTCGAGACACAGTCTTGCCCTGTAACTCAGGCTAGAGTACAGCGTCATGGTCTCAGCTCACCGCAACTCTTCCTTCCAGGTTCAAGCTATTCTCCTGCCTCCACCTCCTGAGCAGGTGGGACTACAGGTGTGCATCACCACGTCCCACTAAGGGGTTTCACCATTTTGGCCAGGCTGGTTTTGAACTCCTGACCTTGTGATCTGCCCACCTTGGCCTCCAAAGTGCTTCAATTACAGGTGTGAGCCACTGCACCTGGCCAAAAGTTATCTTAAATACCTATCCCTAGGCCACAAATAAATTTGAAGCTAAGAAGCTTTATTGCATCCCTTTCTTTGGTCACCTTCATTGGGAGTTGTAAGAGTGAGCTTCGGGAGACCTCCTTTTTCTGTCACTCTTATTCTTTGGCTGTAGCTCAAGAAGATCAAAGGGAGCTTTCTCCTCCCACCACACTCAGCCCACCTTTTCTATCAGTCTCAGATATTGTGGTAATCTTATTTGGCTTTGGTTATGCCTTTATAATTCATCAAAATACATATGTTCATCACATACATATTACTTGTATCTGAGGATTTCAGTAAAACTCTTAGGTTAGAACATTTGATGTGGATCATCTATATCCCCAGAGAGTTCTCTGTCTATAATCTTCAGGCAGGATATAGTCATTTTTAATTATTCCTTAACAAGTATCGCACACTGAAGGAATCATGAAGAAATTTGTCCTTAATGTTCACTAACAATCAGGCCCATGCGTAATTCATAGCTTTAAGTCTAATTTAAGTTTGAGAGGAGGCTCAAAGAAAATTCAAATTTGCCAGGTGCGATGGCTCATGCCTGTAATCTCAGCACTTTGGGAAGCCAAGAGGCGGCAGATCACTTGAGCCCACGGGTTCAAGACCAGCCCAGGCAATATGGTGAAACTCCTTCTCTACAAAAAAATACAAAAATTGGCCAGGCGTGGTGGCACGTGCGTGTGGTCCCAGCTACTCAGGAGGCTGAGGTGGAAGGATTGGTTGAGCAGGAGCAGGGGTCATGGCTGCAGTGAGCTGCATTTGTGAACCTGCACTCCAGCATGGGTGACAGAGCAAGACTACATCTCAAAAAAACTAAATTATTATTAAGGGTCTAGAAAATAAAACTATGTGAGGAAAGGGAAAGGCAGCAGAGTTTATTAACCTTGGTACTTTTAACATTTGGGGATTATTCTTTTTTTTTTTTTTTTTTTTTTTTTTT